GCTAATCTAGAAAAAAGAAGGAGTAGGGGGACATGACAGCAGTCTTCCAATATCTCAGGGGTTGCCCCAAAGAAGAGGGAGTCAAGCTATTCTCCAAGGCACCTGAGGGTAGAACAAGAAGCAATGGGTGGAAACTAATCAAGGAGAGAAGCAACCTAGAACTAAGGGGAAATTTCCTGACAGAACAATCAATCAGTGGAACAACTTGCCTCCAGGAGTTGTGGTTGCTCCATCACTGGACATTTTTAAGAAGATGTTGGGGGCGTCAACTTGTTTTCCAAAGCACTAGAAGGCAAGACAAGAAACAATGGATGGAAACTAATCCAGGAGAAAAGCCACCTCGAATTAAAGGAGGAATTTCCTAACAGGGAGGACAATTAGCCACTGGAACTTGCCACCGGAGGTTGTGGGGGCTTCATCACTGGAGGTGACGTTTGTCTGGAATGGGATAGGGTCTCTTGCTTGAGTAGGGGGGGTTTGAACTAGAAAACCTCCAAGGTCCCTTCCAACTTTATTCTGGTTGATTGACATGGTGAGGGAATTGTACCTTCAAGTTTGCAACATTCCCTTAATGCAGTTTGACAATAAGGTGGAATAAACTTATTGGGGACAGAGAAAAACAAGAACATTTTTTTTAAGTTATTGTCTCTCTTCGTATTTTAGCACGGATGTCCTCAGCTGCCTGGCTCTTCCCACGGAAGTCCCCCCTTCTGAAGAGCCACATCTACTGCGACAGAGCCACAATGTCAACAGTTGTGAGAGGCAGAAGGACCGCCTTGAAGACAACACACAGAAATCACGCAGGTAAGAACCGAAGTTCGAGCCTAACCCAAGTCTCTTTAGGTAAAGGTTCCCCTCGCACTTATTATATTTTTCTTTTTCCCCACAGTCTGTCTTGGGGTGCTGAATCTCCCCCACCTCCCTCCAAGGGAAAGAAAAAGAAGAAGAAATCAGCAAGGAAGAAAAGGAGGAGGTATGTGGAAGGACAGTCCTAGATAGTTAAAAAAACTGAGCCCTGAGCCAAAGGTGCCTTTTCATAAGGCAACTGGACTGTCTTTGTTTTCCTTGAAGCCATTTCAATCAAACAATTGGAATAGCTTGGAAGGGACCTTGGAGGTCAACTAGTCCAACCCCCTGCTCAAGCAGGAGACCTTATGCCACTTCAGACAAGGGACTGTCCAACCTCTTCTTAAAAACCACAGGCCTTGGATTTTTGGATCTGGGTCATAATCCCCTGTCTCTCAAATGTTACTTTTTTCAAAGAAGGTTAAAATGCAAAATACTGTATTTTTTTAAAGGGGGACAAAAGAAGAAAAAACACAACAAACGAAAAAAAGAAAAAAAGAAGACATTAAAAATAAAATTCCTTCCTTCTTTCCTTCCTTCCTACTCTTCTTTTTCCCTTTCCCATCTTCTTCCTTCTTTCATTCCTTCCTTTATTCTTCCTTCCTTTCTTCCTTCTCATCTTTTCCCTTTCGCATATTCCCTTTCCCCTTTCCCATATTCTTCCTTCTTTCCTTCCTTTTTTCCTTCCTGTTTCTTTCCTTCCTTCTTTCCTTCCTTCCTACTCTTCTTTATCCCTTTCCCATTTTCTTCCTTCTTTCATTCCTTCTTTTATTCTTCCTTCCTTTCTTCCTTCTCCTCTTTTCCCTTTCCCATATTCCCTTTCCCCTTTCCCATATTTTTCCTTCTTTCCTTCCTTTTTTCTTCCTGTTTCTTTCCTTCCTTCTCCTTTTCCCATCCCCTTTTCCATATTCTTCCTTCTTTCCTTCCTGTTTTCTTCCCTCCCTTCCTTCTCCTTTTCCCTTTCCTATCTTCTTCCCTTTCTTTCTTTCCTTCCTTCCTTCCTTCCTTCCTTCCTTCCTTCCTTCCTTCCTTCCTTCCTTCCTTTCTTCCTTCTCCTTTCCCCTTTCCCATGTTCTTCCTTCTTCCTTTTTGTTTGCCTGTGTATTTTAATGTACAATAAACTCTAATAGGGGGAAAAGAAGCAGAAGTACCAAAGCACCTNTAACCCTAACCATAACCATAACCATAACCATAACCATAACCATAACCATAACCATAACCATAACCATAACTCTACCCTTACCCTAACCCTAACCCTAACATTCTTAGAACGACACAACCTGAGCACATCTTTCTGGATGCCGTGAGTTTTTCCATCTCCCTTTTACAAACTCCCATAGGGGAGTTTGCAAAGCAGTGTGGAAATCAATTGGGAGCGCAGCTGTACAAGAAATTAATGTTCCTTTTGGGGGGGGAAATTGGGGTGTTTATATGAAGCGAAGCCCTGTTGCAAGGGGATGTGGAGGGGACCTGGCTGCAAGTGAGGATTTTCGTGGGCTTTGTTGACTGTTCTTCTCTAAAAATGGTTCTGCATTGCTGGACACGATGACTCTTTCGGATTTCAAACGGAAGACGATCCGCTTGATAAAACTGCTTTCTTTTTTGCCTTCTTTTTTATTTTTTGCTAGCTCTCCCTCCCCCCCTTCCTCCTTTTCTAATCTGACCCTTGGATCATTTATTGAGGAATTGTCCGTGGTTTATACACAGCGATGGACGTGTTGTAAACAGCTTGTGGTTTCATTTTAATACAGCCAGCCAGAGTGGTTGGAAATTTCTAAAGAACATCCCTTTTTTGTTTTCACAAAAGGAAGCAACGGCCAGAAAACAGTGTGGTTTAATTATTGGGGGGGGGGAACCCCAAGGTCAACTCAGCTGCCTTTCTTACATCTGTTCTTCCCTCTCACTGTTTATCCATGGATCCGTCTTGAACTCTCATACTCTTCTTCTTTCCTCTTCTCTCTGTCTCACTGTCCATTTGTCCATCTGTCCTTCCTCTTACTATCCTTCCATCCACCTCCACGTCCATCTTCTCTCACTGTCCCCCCACCTTTCCCTGCCACTTACTGTCCATCCATTCATCTCTCCATCCCACTGACCTTCCCTCTATCTCCAGCTCTCTCAGTCCTTCCTCTGTCCTTCTGTCTCACTGTCCATTCATTCTTCCCCCATCCCACTGTCCTTCCAACCCTCTTCATCTCCCTTTCCAACCGTCTCACTCTCCTTCCTTCCTCCCTCCCTCTCAGTCATCCATCGTTCCATCATCCATCCATCCATACACACACAGACTTCCCACCATCCTTCCATCCATCTCCCTTTCCAACCGTCTCACTCTCCTTCCTTCTCCCTCCCTCCTTCCCTCTGTCATCCATCCCTTCTTCCTTCCATCCTTCCATCATCCATCCATCCATACACACACAGACTTCCCACCATCCTTCCATCCATCTCCCTTTCCACCCGTCTCACTCTCCTTCCTTCCTCCCTCCCTCTCAGTCATCCATCGTTCCATCATCCATCCATCCATACACACACAGACTTCCCACCATCCTTCCATCCATCTCCCTTTCCAACCATT